ATATATATACCGTGTGTAATTGGTGAAATGTATATATATATATATATATATATATATATATATATATATATATATATATATATATATATATATATATATATATATATATAAGAGAGAGAGAGAGAGAGTTAAATCTCTCTATATATAAATCTATATATATATATAGAGAGAGATTTCAATATATATATATATATATATATACTGTGTGTAATTGGTGAAATGTATATGTATAAATATATATATATATATATATATATATATATAGATTTAAATATATATATATATATATATATATATATATATATATATATATATACATTATAATGTAATTGGTGAAATGTCTATATATGTATGTATATATATATATATATATATACATACCGTGTATAACTGGTGAAATGTATATATATATATATATATATATATATATATACCGTGTGTAATTGGTGAAATATATATATATATATATATATATATATATATATATATATACATACAGGATGTTCCAGAAGTCTTGGGCACACTTCAAGTCCTCATATCTGCTTAACTATGAATGGTATTAAGATGAAACTGGTACCATTTTAAAGCTAATTTCATTAACTTTTTTGTAATGATAATGATTTTCTTTTCTAATTTTTCAGATCCAATAATGTCGTTCACTCAAACAGAAAAGGCGTTTTGCATCCTTGAATTTGTAAAAAATGAATCATTGACACCTGTTCAATGTGAATTTCGCACAAAATTCCAAAAAGAGTCACCAGAAAGGAAGTCCATATTGAGATGGTATGGTAAATTCATGAAGGATGGGTGCTTGTGCCCAGATAAGAGAACAGGACGACACTCAACTTCAGATGATAGGGTTGAGCGAGTTCAAACTGCCTTCAAGCGGAGCTCCCCTAAATCGACCAGAAGGAGCCAGTAAAGAGCTTCAGCTTCCTACAACAACTGTTTGCCATGTCTTAAAAAGACAACTGCATATGACACCTTAAAAACTAGTTAACTCAACAGCTGCAGGACACTGATAAACCAGCTCGTCGTGACTTTTGCATTGCAATGAAAGAGAAGTTGGAAGATGACGGATTCGATGTGTGCCGTTTGACCAACAGTGCTCACATTGAACATCTTTGAACATTCCATGTAAAACTTGAGATTAAAATATGTCAGGCGCGTTTTTATATCCTTAATAGTTATCGAGATATTCAATATCAAAATGTGTCCAAGTCTTTTGGAACACTCTGTATATATATAAAAGAAAGAAAAAAGAATATGGCAATAAACCAAAATATATAAGTTCCTAGGGAATATGAAATAGAAAAAATAAAAGCAAAAATATATATATATATATATATATATATATATATATATATATATATATATATATCGTGTAAAATTGCAAAATTTTCCAATGAAAGAACGTATTGCATCTCGCAAATTTGGCTCCAAGGGTTATTGGCGTCTCTGCAAGAGCGTGCTTAACAATAGCAAACCCTCTATACCTCCTTTGTTCAGCCAGTTCGAGGTTCTGGCCTCGTCTGTCGACAAGGCTGAATGCTTTGCTCGGAAATTCTCATTCAATTCAATGCTCGAATCTTCCGGTGTACCCACACCCGATTTCCCCCTTAGAACTGAGGCTCTATTGAGCGACTTACACATAAACCTGTCATCGGTTCTGGGCATCATCTCTAAATTGGACCCTCACAAGGCTAGTGGTTGAGATGGGATACCAGTTATTGTCCTGAAGAAATGTGCGCCTAAACTGGCCCCTGCCCTCTCCAAATTATATAACTACTGCCTCAATGAATCTTGTTTTCCAAACTGTTGGAAGTCCTCATCCATTGTTCCTGTCTTTAAGAACTCTGGAGACCATTCTGACCCTTGTAATTACCGTCCTATCAGTCTCCTACCCCTCTTCGGCAAAGTCTTTGAAGCTTTAATCAACGCCGAAGTGGTTAAGCACCTTACATCCCATAATCTGCTCTCCGACAAGCAATATGGTTTCCGCTTTGCCCGTTCTACAGATGATGTGCTTACGGCCATAACTGAAATTGATTACCAAGCACTTCATAATAACGGAGAAGCTCGTGCCGTGGCTCTAGATATCTCCAAAGCGTTTGATAGGGTTTGGCATGCCGGCCTTCATCGCAAACTTCAGGGTTATGGAATTTCAGGTCTATTGTTCGACTTAATACAATCATTTCTGTCAAACTGTGTATTGAATGTCGTTCTCAATGGATTCTTCTTCAGCTTTTATCCCACGGACGCAGATGTTCCCCAAGGCTCCATCCTAGGGCCTACTATGTTCCTTATTAACAATCTTCCTGATGTCATAGGTTCTCAAGTAGGCATCTATGTGGACTGGGACAGGAATTGGCTGGTTAACTTTAATGCCTCAAAAACAAAACTGCTCTCTATTACTCACCAGAGAGAACCATCCCTGCCCCCACCCTGACGCTCAACTCCACGGGAGCACCTTTTTGCACTGCTCGGTCTCACATTGTCCGCTGACCTGAGATGGGACGAATACATTGAGTCAATAACTTCGTCCACCACTAGGAAAGTTGGCTTCCTATGCTGCGCCAGGAAATTTTTCTCACCAGAGTTGATCCTTCAAATCTACAAATAACCCATTCGCCCTTGCATGGAGTATTGCTTCCATATATGGTCTGGACCCCCTTCTATTTGTCTCAAGGTTCTTGATAAATTCCAAAGACGGATATGCAATGTTATTGGCTCTGATCTGGCATCTCGTCTGCAGCCGCTCTCTCACAGACGTCGCGTTGCCTCCCTCGGTTTTTTTTTACAAATACTTTCACGGTAACTGCTCCGAGGAACTGCTTTCGTTGGTTCCCAGACTTCATCAATTTAAGCGTTCTACTAGGCTGGCATCTCGCTCTCCCCATTTCACTGTTGAAACTGTTAAATGTAGTCGTCTCTTCTACTCCAATAGCTTCATGTCTCGTACTTTCCGCCTGTGGAACTCCTTTCCCATTTCTTGTTTTTCTGATAGCTAGAATCTCCAACTATTCAAATTGTTATGGGAACTTACCAATAATAATAATAATGGACTATTCCTGACATTATAAATACTGCGCCTCTCAAGAGGTATGAGGAGATTGTAAGACGAGGAGAGATAATTGAGAGCATATTGTAAGGACATTGGAATAGTGATACTTGTCGAGACAACATAGTTCATTCTGACCAAATCTGATAGTCATCATACTTATTATAAAACCCAGGTTGTGTGTGTGTGTGTCTGTTCGTTTATATATTGGATCGGATTTCCTACATTTTTCAACCGATTTCAACAAAACTTTACAGGACTACGTAAAATTACCTTGCGGTGGTTCTGACAGCGCCCAAAATTGGAAAAACACAATTGTTTTTGCACGAAATCAATTTGAAAACACATTTAAGAGGCATCGCGAGAATGAAAGGGGGACAACTCATATCGAGTTATACTTATTATAAAACCCAGTGTGTGTGTTCGTTTATATATTCACTTTTTTTTTGCCAGGTAGTGTTTCTTATTGTCTTGCACACTTTCTTTATTTTTACATTCAGAATGCTTAAAAAATTCCATTTGCAAGACAATTGTTTATAATAAAATTCTATTCAATCGGTAGAGACTCATAACGATTGAAAACAATGTTTTTGTTTGGGTTTGGGTTTGACCAATCCGTAAAAAAAAAAAAACTAATTAAGACATGCGTGTCCGTCAACCTTAAACAATAATCTTTGTCAATTTTATTTTTCAGTCTTTATGATGGTCGATACAACGCCGGGCTCTACTGCTAGTTATTAATACTTCTACTTCTTTGTATTATATTTCTGTTGTAATATATCTTTGTATTCCATACCTGTGTTTGTGTTATTCTTTCATTGGTTCTAACCTTGGACCATCGCTGTGGTACAAGGAACTTGGACCATAACACAAATGTAATGTCAATCGACAACAGTCTCTTCATCCTTTCCTCTATCACTCCTCTTTGTACTCGCTCCAACTCTGTAACCCCCTGCGTGCTAGTGGCTTCCCGCCTTGCTTGGGGTTGAAACGCTTAAAAAAATCGTAGAACGGTATGGGACAATTGTCCATCCATCAAAATGATTAATATCTAAAAAAAGAAAAAGAAAAAAAAAACACTAAACTAATTTTGTTTCTTTTTTCCAGGCAGGTTTTCAGTTCAGATAAGACGTTTAGTCATCTTGACACCATTTGGCATAAAATCACTGTGAAACCCTTTGAGTTATTCAGTTAGAATGAGAACAGATTAAAATCGTTCTTTGTCAGTCCCACAGTCTTCCCAAATGAGCAATGATGAGAGGAAAAAGATCATCCAGGCCTTCAGTAATCGTATCAGCATTCATACTCTAGCTTCCATCTTCAAATCCATTCAAGAACCATCAGGAGAACGGTGAATAAGTTTTAAAAATAGGGAACAATGGAGAGGAAAGCTGGAACAGGAGGTTACAACAGCAAGAGGGATCATCATTTCAACTTAGAGCTAAAGAGATCGATTAGAAAAGATCCAACTCAATCCATTAGACGTTTTGCCCGTGAGAGAGGAGTTTCAGCTATGACAGTCCAAAGGGCAGTGAAAAAAGACTTGAAAATGAAATCGTACGTGAAAAGTGTGAGGCACCTTGTTAATCCAGGACAGAAATTTAGAAGGTTAGAGAGGGCGAAGATCATCTTGAATAAGTTGGAAAATGATACTGAAATTATATATATATATATATATATATATTTGAACTTTATTTCAATCCTTCATGACCTTCCGATCCTTAACTATGATTAATTAATGATGAACATGTCATTTTCGTTTATCGTCGATTTCACTACGATTCTTCTGTTAAGCTTGGAGAGTAATTATACATTCTTATTGTTCGAAGTAGAGTCTAATAGTGTTATAAAATCCTCAGAGAATTCCAATAAGATATCTTTAATCATTTCTAAGATATAACGGTTTAAAGCTTAATGTAACAATTGGACAATTTTGCTTTTACACGATTTGGACAATTTTGCCGTTACACCCAGTAAAGAAAAAGAAGAAGTAAAAAGAAACAAGGAAAAAATTATTAAAAGCCTTGGCGAATGTATATTGGAAGTGATGAATAGAGAAAGAAAATAGGATAAAAACGCACATACAAAATGGGCCAAGAAAGAAAAAAAGAATGAAGCGTAAAAAAGAAATTGAAAAAAGAACGAAAGGAAATGGAGTGAATACTGAAAAAAAAAAAAAATGGAGCCGTGGAAGAAAGAACAAGTCACAGGAGAAAGGAAGAAGACAATGAAGAGGAAGAAGGCGAGGGAGAAAGAAGAAAGCGAGGGAGAAAGGAAGAAAGCGAAGGAGAATGGAAAAATACAAGGAAGAAGGTGATGGAGAAAGCGGGAAAGGAAAAAGACAAAGAAAATGGAAGAAGAAAAAGGAAGATGACGAGAGAGAAGGAAAGAAGAAAGAAAAAAAGAAGAAAATGAAAAAGAAAGTGAAAGAAAATCTTTTCTACTTAAAAGTCCCGGACATTGTCACGTTCTTTTCCCTGGAACGTCGTAAATCTTAAAGTCAGAGTAGAATTTCTGACACTTTGATCGCTGGGACGCTCATCAAATGTGTCAAACATTTTATGATCTATTTCATCGGGCAACCCTCACGTTGTTCTGAGCCATCCACGATATTATTATTATTATTATTATTAAGTGCGACAGTAAAGCGAAGCTGGTTTACAAATTTACAAGACCTAATATTTCCACTATTTACATTGTTTGGACTGTTGTCCTCATCTTTATTGCGATATTCATGACGTTTTGGCCTTTTTTAGGTGACTGGAATTTCGAACTGAACTCTTTACTTCGTCCACCGGGGTAGATTGTTCTAGTTCCACGTGCTATACCTCTTCCATGTGTCTCAGTTATCTCCCTTTAACTGAACTCTCCAAGTTTTGGTTCACCGCCGCAGTAGACCGGTATTGAACTCCCAGCTCTTTCGGTCAAGTCAGTGGATCCAATCAACGCTTTTATCCACTGGGCCATGTGTCCTTGATATGCCCATCGTGATACCCAGTCTGATAAGGTTATACGAAGCACATGCATCACAGCCAAATGTATTCGATTTTGGTAACAAAATTTTAGTCGAACGAGCGCATAACCTTGCAGGTGGGCAACTCAATCCACGATCTTCGATTGAGGCTGTTCCTAGGTATCTAGATATGTCTCCTAAGTCGCCTTGTTTGTCTTATCCGTATAAAACAAACCTTCGATACCCGAACATGATTCTTCCACACAAATCTCGCTGATGAACATCGATTCACAGTGCCTCCGCCCCTATGAAACATGACCAACTGGTTAGGGTTAGGCAACTGACACGCAGAGTTGTGGTACTTAAACGGGATATTTACTGTAATCCAGCTTAATTCACCAATCAAAAATATGTATAAAACTCCCAATCAATTAAGATCAGAAACCACAAGAGCCGTGCCTGGTGTAGCATCAGGACATTTTTATTATAACTCGTCTGGCCATCCTGATAAAAATGACAGCAATCGTTAGAAAGTTTTAATAGTGAGACGCAATGAAACAAAACTCTTGAGACAATACATTGAGATTCAGCAAAACAGAGGTAAAGAATTCACAATTAAGACAGAGGCCAATCAAACGTTTAATTAATCCGTTCCCTTTATACTTTTTAGATGTTCAAATGGTATCTATGACTCATTGATTACTCCTGGTATTATACACGGTGTCCATAAAGTTTGTGCGCACTTTAAAAAATTATAACTTTATTTGTATTTGCGATAGAAATAATTTGCAAAAAGGATTAGAAAGAAGTAAATCTATATTTTTTAAGGTTTATTGAAATTTTATTTACGTTTCCACATGTCCTCCATCATTAGCAATACAAAGAGTAATACGATTTTGCAGTTCATGGAAAACATTTGCCAACTGATTTACAGTAATGCCTGAAAATCACATTAGTTATTTTAGCAAAACTTAAAACTAGGTACATTAAACTTTATAACATTTTTTACAGATTATTTCTATCACAAATACAAATAAAGTTATAAATTTTTTAAAGTGCACACGAACTTTATGGACACTGTATAAATCGCTGTTTGATCGATATCTTTTCATGTTAAAAAATTTTACGGGTTTAATATAACAGTGAAGTAGAAATATCGCTCGGAAGAAAAAACATTAGTAACAGAACGGCGGGGAAAATAAAGCCTATTTCAAGACCAAGTTGAAGCAAGAAGATCATTTAATAAACAAAGGTATCTGAGTGCTTCACATGAAAAGCTTGAACAAATAAGACTGAAATCTAAGAAAATTAGGAGTAAAGGAACTGATTAATTAAATGATTCATTTTGCTCGGGAACAAATTTTGTCTAAATGCAAATAAATATTTTATTTATATTAAACCGAATAAGGAAAGTAATCATTTATTAATTAACTAAATTAAGTTGATTTATGTCCCTTTCTACTACAGACAGAACAGAAATATATATAAATGAATACACATTGACAAGTATTATATGATTTGATTATTATTATTTAACTGGTGGTCTTAAATGACAGTATTACTGCGAGTGGATTCTGGGAGAATTAGAACGATAGCCATAATCTTAACAGTGTGGATAACAGACACAGAAAGAAAAATACAAAAACTCCTACAGAAGGTAGTGAAGGAAAGCGAGAAGAAAGGACTAAACATCAGCAGAAGGATGCTGAGGATTCCATAGATGTGAGCAACGACGAGGTTTTAGAGAAACTGGGAACAAAAAGGAAACTTAACATAAGGGAGAGACAGCTGAAGTTTCTAGGGCACATAATGACGAAAGAGGGCTTGGAAAATCTGATACTCACAGGAGAGATTGAAGGCAAGAGGGATAGAACAAAACAACGCTTTGTGAGCCTTAGTAAATGGATAGCAGAACAAGTTTTATGAAAAATAACAAAAAGACAAAATTTATTAAAGGCTACGAAGGCAGGAAATTGTGGAGAGTCATGACCCGTGTCTATTTTTATATTCTTCTGGATCGGCTTGTTACATACAACTATCATGGGGTTCATTGTTTCATCTTTATTCCCAGTATGAATATATTGTTTTCTATGTTTCATCAATATTAGGTTGTTATTATTATTATTATTATTATTATTCTGCTTTTTCCTTCGTTCCTTAGCACGCGCCTTACGCCCTGTCATACCTCAGATGAATAATGAGTCATTCCTGTTTAAGTTCGAGGACAGACGGAAGAAAGGATAGACTAGTTGTGCTGTTTAGATTTAAGGAAAGGAAGTGCAAAGAAAGAAAGATAGAAAGAAATGGAAGATAGAAGTGGTGATAATGCTCTCATGTGTTTAACATCTGCTTAAATGAAAAGGAAGACATTGTCAGTGTTAAATATTTTCATTTGTACCCTCTTACTTCTTTAAATACTGATCTGTATTCATATTTATCATTGTTATTGCAATATTGCTAAGCCAAAATACTTAACGAAAGAATAGGGTATCTGTCTATATTTCTGAGATGATGTATTATGTACACTATTTACATTATTCGGACTATTGGCCTCATCTTTGTCGTCATATATATTACAACGTTTCGGCCGTTGTACGCTCCGGCCTTCTTCAGGTGGTTGGAATGTCGAACTGAACCCTTCAAGGACACATGGCACAGTGGATAAAGTCGTTAGTTCGATCCAGTGACAGGACCCAAAGAGTGTGAGTTCAATACCCGGTTAAGGCAGTGAAGAACTTTAAGAGGGGAATTAACAGGAGATAACTGATAACTGACATCCATTAAAACATGGCACGTGTAACTAGAACAGTCTACCTCAGTTAGCGAAATAAAGGGTTCAGTTCGACATTCCAACCACCTGAAGAAGGCCGGAGCGTACAGCAACCGAAACGTTGTAATAAATATGGCGACAAAGATGAGGACAATAGTCCGAATAATGTAAATAGAGGAAATAGCGGAATTTCCGTGGTTAATATATAGTCATGGAACTCTCAAGGGGTTTATTCCATCATTAAGTGAGGATTAAGATACACCAGTAAGTTCAAATAGGAAAACCTTGGAATTTTCATGGCTATTTGTAGCTATTATATATATATATATATATATATATATATATATATATATTGTGTGTATTTAGGCAGCATTTTTTCATTCATACATGTTTCATTAAATAATATAGACAAGTGTTGTCTGTTTATTTTATGTAAATTCATTTCATAACGTCTGATAAGCTTAATAACATTATCATTAAACGAAGAAAGAAATTCACAATATTGATCCATATTTTTTAATCCAATCTAAGCTTTCGGCTTACATAGCCATTATCAAAGATGTGAGTTACAGTACACTATATTAAGCAATATACGGACAAGATAGTGATGATAGTCTGTGATTGTTTACATGGATGATTTTCAAGCAACGATAAACACGTGCATATAAGACACTAGAAGCGAAAATCGCTTTGCAGCTATATATATATATATATATATATATATATATAATTATTATTCATAAAAAAATTATAACATAAGTATATTTATAAAATTACAAAATTTATTTTATTTTCAACATCATCACTTGATAAGACACAGAGGGTGTTGAAAAATAAATTAATTTATTTTTCTTAGTGATTTTATAACATACTTATGTTATAATTTTTTATAAATAATAATTATATCTGCTCTACTTTGCATTGTGCACTCTTTTAAGAATAGTAATTGTTGGTTATTGGAATTCATTCCGTATATACCAATTATATACTTTATATATATATATATATATATATATATATATATATTATTATATCATTATTTTTTATATATTATTATTTTATATATTATTATTATTCTTAGGAATTATTATTATTATTATTATTATTATTATTATTATTATTATTATTATTATTATTTACTTTGATTTCTGGTGTGTACTCATTTCTTCCTGGGTCTCGACCAGAGACCTAAGGTCAGAAATGGCATTATGACATTTTCCACTGATCAATTAAAAAAAAAATTACATAGATAAAGCTCTTTGTAAGGTGTTGGCAGTACTCGTGAGAAATTTTTTTGTATTTTTTTAAGGCATGAGCTTTCAGGAATCCCTTCAGTGTTCAGTCTACTGGAATTTTTATCAATCAATCGGGGAGCTTCAACTACAACAGGGATTATTGATGTTCCCATGTGTTACATTTCTGAGATTTCGATTTCAAGGTTCTTGTATTTTGATAGCTTTTTGAAGATCTTCAAAGAAACATTGCAGTCTGCAGGGACTGCCATATCAATAAGAGGTCATTTTTTTTTTGTTTGCAGTCTATAATAACAATGTTTGTTATTATTATTATTATTATTATTATTATTATTATTATTTAAGAAAGGTTAGGAAAATATAGCGATAAAATTCATAATCGGATTCTTGCTTTTTCGCTTTCGCTCTTTTTTAATTGCAAATGATTCGAAGAAAAAAACCGTTTTATATTCACCAGCATATGTCATTTGAAATGTTGTTTATCTTTACGTAAGACAAAGGCGATCATAAATCAGAAGGCGGCTCAAATGCCATCTTCTTTTAAATTCATAACTATGATGTACGACTTTGAACAAACCATTTCTTTTTTTGGCTAAGAATTATATTGTCGATATTGTCACATTCATGGTATCATGAGTCCACATTATATATATATATATATATATATATATATATATATATATATGAGCGACTTATCTGGCGTCTGAATTTACGACATTGCAGAGAAAAGCGATTAAGAATGACCTGTGCTTTTTTTAGGTAAAGAGATTATTTGAATTAGAAGATTCTTGGGTTTTTTTATTTTGTTTTCTGTCTTTCGTTTATTTCTTTTCAGACATATTTGATTTCCTCAGCCTTTCTTTTTTAATTTTCGCCACATTTACTTTCTTTCTTTCTTTCAGATATTTATTTCCTCAAATTTCATTCATACTTTCTTACTGTCTAACCTGTTAATTTCACCATTTTCCTTCCTCCCTTCCTTCTTTGCAGCCATCATTCTTTCTTTCTTTCTTTCTTTCTTTCTTTCTTTCTTTCTTTCTTTCTTTCTTTCTTTCTTTCTTTCAGACTTTTATTTCATCAAATTTCTTTCAGTCTTTGTAACCTGTTAACATCCCCATTTTCCTTCCTTCCTTCCTTCCTTCCTTCCTTCCTTCCTTCCTTCCTTCCTTCCTTCCTTCCTTCCTTCCTTTCTTCCTTCCTTCCTTTCATTCATTCCTTCCTTCCTTCCTTTCGTTCATTCTTTATTTCCTTCCTTCCTTCCTTCCTTCCTTCCTTCCTTCCTTCCTTCCTTCCTTCTTTCTTTCTTTCTTTCTTTCTTTCTTTCTTCTTTCTTTCCTTCCTTCCTTCTTTCCTTTCTTTCTTTCTTTCTTTCTTTCTTTCTTTCTTTCTTTCTTTCTTTCTTTCCTTCCTTCCTTCCTTCCTTCCTTCCTTCCTTCCTTCCTTCCTTCCTTCCTTCCTTCCTTCCTTCCTTCCTTCCTTCCTTTCCCTCTTTCTTTCCTTCCTTTTTTTACAGACCTATTTAATTCTGCTCAATTTCTTATATTTTTCTCTTAATTTCTGTCCTATTCCTTCCTCCCATTACCTTTCTTTCTTTCTTTTTTTCTTTCTTTCTTTCTTTCTTTCTTTCTTTCTTTAAAGTCTTATTCCTCCCAATTTCTTTCATTTTTCTAAACACCTTTATGAACTGGCGTGGCTGGACAGGAAGCGGATATATACCACCATATCTAAATGTGTGTGAACGGGTGTGGTTCTTCATTATATCAATCCTAACGTCACCCCACCGTACACAAACGGGAAGGTGAGATGACTCTTTATATTGCAGATGTTATTTCGCTGTCTTTGAAATTCCCGGTCACTCCCTCGTTGTCCCGCCCATCAAAGGGTCTAGTGAGGTCGTTATGCAACTAACAAGCCTCGAAGGATCTCGTTACACTGTGGTTTTCTGTTTCCTACTTCACTGGAAATCAAACAGTGTGAATTCGCTTGTCGGAAATATGCCAAGGCATGTTTAAAGGAATGGCGCATAGGTAAAAGTGTTAATAAAACGAATGTAAAGACTTTAGGTGCCTTCAGGTAGCCTTTTGGTGCGAGGGCATTTGCAACCCAGGTGTGTATGTTGTTCGGCGACATTCATATACGACAATAATTATTTTAAGGAAGTTCTCATAGCCATTAAATCTTTATATCGCTTCGGGCATTCAGCGACTTTTCTATTTCAAAAAAGCTGTCAGCTACCGACTGTTACTATTAATGGCTGGTCTCTTGATTCTCATTTTGTCAACTCTTACAACAACTCTTGGCAACTCTTCTTCTGCTCTTCTCTTTCTATTACCGATGTGGACAACCGTGTCACCGTTTCTCCTCTGCTCTGTAAATGCTGGTTTATAAAGAAAACACCGAGCATTACCTTTAACTTTGCAGATATCCACATGATGCGAAATTTCCATTGTTATGAGTTTGAACTTTTACCTCGTTTCGCAAACCTGACGAAGTGTCAGCACCTATTTTCCTAACTTGTTTGTTTGTTTCTCTTTCTTTCTTTCTTTCTTTCTTTCTTTCTTTCTTTCTTTCTTTCTTTCTTTCTTTCTTTCCACGTAGTCCTTTTTTCTCTCCACGTAGTTCTTTCTTTCTTTCTTTCTTTTTTTCTTTCTTTCTTTCTTTCTTTCTTTCTTTCTTTCTTTCTTTTCACGCAGTCCTTTGTTTTTTTTGTTTCTTTCTATCTTTCTTTCTTTTTTCCTTTTTAATTCTACCTAATTTCTTTCTTTCTTTCTTTCTTTTCACGCAGTCCTTTGATTTTTTTTGTTTGTTTCTTTCTATCTTTCTTTCTTTTTTCCTTTTTAATTCTACCCATTTTCTTTCTTTCTTTCTTTCTTTCTTTCTTTCTTTCTTTCTTTTTTCTTTTCTTTTCTTTCTTTCTTTCTTTCTTTCCACATAGTCCTTTCTTTTTCTCCACGTAGTTCTTTCTTTCTTTCTTTCTTTCTTTTCTTTCTTTCTTTCTTTTCACGCAGTCCTTTTTTTTTTGTTTGTTTTTTTCTATCTTTTTTCTTTTTTAATTCTACCCAATTTCTTTTTTTCTTTCTTTCTTTCTTTCTTTCTTTCTTTCTTTCTTTCTTTCTTTCTTTCTTTCTTTCTTTCCACGTAGTCCTTTCTTTCTCTCCACGTAGTTCTTTCTTTCTTTCTTTCTTTCTTTCTTTCTTTCTTTCTTTCTTTCTTTCTTTCTTTCTTTCTTTTCACGCAGTCCTTTGATTTTTTGTTTGTTTCTTTCTATCTTTCTTTTTTCCTTTTTAATTCTACCCATTTTCTTTCTTTCTTTCTTTCTTTCTTTCTTTCTTTCTTTCTTTCTTTCTTTCTTTCTTTCCACATAGTCCTTTCTTTCTCTCCACGTAGTTCTTTCTTTCTTTCTTTCTTTCTTTCTTTCTTTCTTTTCACGCAGTCCTTTGTTTTTTTTGTTTGTTTCTTTCTATCTTTTTTCCTTTTTAATTCTACCCAATTTCTTTCTTTCTTTCTTTCTTTCTTTCTTTCTTTCTTTCTTTCTTTCTTTCTTTCTTTCTTTCTTTCTTTCTAAGCAATCTACTCCCCTATTTTCATTCTTTCGTTCTTTTCAGATTTATTTATTTCCTCCCACTTTCTTCGTCTACCCAATTGCTACCTCAGAGATTTTCGTATACCATCTTTATGCCCGCAACAACTATTTCACTGTTAAAAGCTGTTAAATTCTATTCGTGTTCCGCGTCTACGAAAACGAGCAAATCTCTTTATCTATTACGTCACACACACGTCATTCTACCTTGTCATTTCTTCCCAATTGGAGGAGAACGAAATTATGGAGCGAATTACTGCCTATCATATTTTGTCACCTTTTAACATAGAGAAAAAGGCGAATAAATAATCTAGAAAAATTGCAGTAGATTCTGAATGAACAGAAAAAATTTCTTTTTCAGAAATTCTTTTTCTCTTTCTCAGGAACTGAAAGCGTAAATTAGAAAACACAACGCCCAACCTCGGCTAATAAAATCTTAAAATCTTCCTATTCCATGAAGAATATCCTTTAAAATATTTTAAAATAAATATCTATTTGAAATAATTTTTAAAATCTCACCTTAAAATAGAGAACGAGAATGGGTCTGCCTTCCCCGCATCGAACGACTCTGACAAAATAGTTGACTCTTCGAGTCAAAAATAACAACAAATTAAACGCAATACTTCCTCTTCTTAGGGAATAAAATCCCCTCTTGCAAATAAATATTTCTTAGTCAAAGTTGAAACAAATCTAAAAAAAGTCACAAAGTACCTTTGTTATCTTTAACAAACATCTATATTTGCTTCAATGCCTCAAAGGGCTTTATAAGTTAAATCAAAATAAAATATAACGTTTCTCAAGTTTTAACAAATTTATAACTTTTCTCAAGTTATAGTAAACCAATATTAGCTTCGGAATTTTACCGAAACTAACAAAATTTTCTACAGAGTCTCGTCCGAAAAGAAAAACTCCCTATCCCGATATTATAAGTCAGACATTATTAATTATAAAGTTATAATTTAAATCACTCTAAAGAAAATACTTCGGCACTGTAAGTCGATCATTCAAAGTAGCATGCTATTTTACGTGGCAAATTAAGTCAGTTTACCACGGAGCCAGAAACAAAGAATCTCAACTCAACAAGAAAACATTTCTGACTGAGGATAAAATCCTCTGATAAAAAGGAGTCGTCTGCTGCTTCCAATTCCATGAAAAAGAGCGGCAACAAAAAAATTATCGTCTGTCTTGCCATCAGACGCGTATTAAAACTATATAGCAATACATCATCTAATATTTTACCACTGAAGTTATTGAAAAGATGTCTTCTCATTCTCTCTATATATTAATATTCAAAATTTCTGTAAATAAAAATTTTCCAAAGTATTGCTGGTATTTTTCTTTCAAAAATGCATTGCTGACAGTTTAGATATTTCTGAACAGATTTGGTGCCATGCATGATATCCATATGAGAATAGAAATCTGATATGGCAATTTAAGAACAGGTTTGTATATCAACACCTCAATAGGTTATTTAATGCCGACAAGATTTTTTTGCTGATAATATTTTTTTCAAAAATATATTGTTGGTAATATTTTTTGAAAAAATGTATTGCTAATAAAAGCTCCCCCCTCAAAAACGCATTGCTGGTAAAACCTTTTTTTTTCCAAAATGTATTGCTGGTCATTTTTTTTCCAAAAAGTATTGCCAGCATTAAAACCTATTTTTATACTTTCACAGTGCTTTGACCCCTTCTGGAGGGTCAACCACTTGACCAGAGCCGGGACTCCGAGAGACTCCATGACCCCGGACGCGGATGTAGTTCATCGTCTTACCCAGGACGCGGATGTAGTTCATCGTCTTACCCAGGACGCGGATGTAGTTCATCGTCTTACCCAGGAGGCGGATGTAGTTCATCGTCTTACCCAGGACGCGGATATATTTTATCGTCATACCAAGGACGGTCAAAACTCACATTTTATTAATTTTCATGGATATGATTACAGAATTTTTAATGTGATAATTCTATTGAAGCAGAATCTATGAAAATCGACAAAACCACCGGAGACTACCAACCAAGATACCTGTACAGAAATGTAAAAATATATTAACCCGGACATCCACTACGACCACATCATTTCACAGATTCAACTCCTATTTACCAACTATAAAAATTCATCAATACCATCTTCTCATATCTACCCCAAAACTATAGCATCACGCCCATGCATCAATTCCTTCAAATCCTTAATGCAACAACATCAAACCAAAGCATTCTGGCTTCACTCGATGTAGAAAGTCTAGTCATGAACGTTCCAGTAGATGAAACAATAAATATTATTTGCAACTATGTCGATAAACATCCTTCAATTCCACCCAAACCTAACAAAATTAATATTCTTAAAAATATTACACGCCTGCACAACCAACGTCTACTTTTACTCCGACATTAATAAAATATATATATTGAAACAAACGGTATTACTATGGGGAGTTCCCTCGGACCATTCTTTGCCAATTACTATATATCTCCTGTTGTTAAAAACTACATAAACAACAAAATTCCATACGTGGTCGTTGCAGAATCCAATAACAATGCATTTACTACTTCATTATATATGAAACCCATTCATAAAATCTCCTGCCATCTCAATAGTGTATGTTCACTTAGATACACATTAGCGTTAATAAAAAAAAGCAACATTCTGATGAGAGAACAGGTGGTTTCATTCTCGCACACGCCATTTCTACATAACTCATCACCATGAAAGAAACACTAGTCAACAACGGTTTCCCTAACTATATTATAAACAGCTAAATGAAATTGTTTCTTTCAAATCCAAGTAATAATAACAGAATTCACAGAGATAATAGCAATACCATTTATACATTTTATCAAAATCAAATGTACAGAAATTATCAGATCATTGCAAAGGGTCGTGTCCTGAGTTTCATCTATATCTATAATTCTCAAAATCTGTGTGTGTGTGTTTGGATGTTGTTTATGCATTTCCGCAGTTTTCATCCGATTTCGATCAATTTTTTGTTTGACAGATAATTTTTCAGTGTCGGTTTTAAGTCCAAATTGGCTGGAAAAAAATTACAACCTTGAAGGTGAAAAATCGAAAAAAATGATTTTTTACATTTTGCGCAAAAATCAAAGGCAAAATTTAATGTCTGTAAAAAAAACAGCATACAATCAATTTAGACAGTTGGAATCTAACTCAAAATATTATTAATTATAAAAAAAATATATTATAAATAGAAATTATCGTATATTATTATTATGACGGTTCATGGAAGAGGTTCCTTCCTTTCAATATTGAGAATGCAAAAACGGCCCTTTTCAAGGCGTCCCAGCCAAATCAAATTGTTACCCACCCAATTGTTGCTACTAATATTGATTTTAAAGTGGGCTGACTTTAAACTTAAACTGCTCCAATTTTTTTTAAGCGTTTCACTCCATGCAAGGCGGGAAGCCACTAGCACCCATGGGGTTACAGAGGATTTGGAGTGAGAGCAGATAGGAGTGATAGAGGAAAGGATTAGGAGAAGGATGGGGGATAGATCAAGGCATCTGGAGTTGTCTATTGACATTACATTTGAATAGTTGGAGATTATAGCTATCAGGGAAACAGGAAAAGGGGAGGGAGTTCCACAGGCGAGAAGTGCGAAACATGAAGCTATTGGAGTAGAAGAGACGGTTACATTTAACAGTTTCGACAGTGAAAGGGTGAGAGCAAGATGCCAGTCTAGTTGAATGCTTAAATTCATGAGGTCTGAGAACCAGTGAAAGCAGTTAATGGGAGCAGTTACCATGAAAGTATTTGTAAAAAAGACAGAGGGAGGCGACGGCACGTCTGTGAGAGAGCGACTGCAGACGAGATGCCAGATCAGGGCCAATTACATTGCATATCCGTCTTTGGATTTTATCAAGAACCTTGAGACAATTAGAAGGAACTCCAGACCATATCTGGCAGCAATACTCCATGCAAGGGCGAATGGTTGATTTGTAGATTTGAAGGATCGACTCCGGTGAGAAAAATTTCCTGGCGCGGCACAGGGAGCTAACTTTCCTAGTGGTGGACGAAGCTATTGACTCAATGTATTTGTTCCATCTCAGGTCAGCAGTCAATGTGAGACCGAGTAGTCGCAAAGAGGAACTCTCGTGAAGTTGAACGTCAGACATTTTAATGGGGTGGGGGTAGGGATGGTTCTCTGTGGTGAGTAATAGAGAGCAGTTTTGTTTTTGAGGCATTAAAGTTAACTAGCCAATTCCTGCTCTAGTTTACAACCGATTGGAAGTCTTTTACGAGACAAACGTCCAGGTTAGTTTTGTCAGCGACACTAGATTTGTTTTGGAAGCAGGAGTAAATAGTAGTGTCGTCTGCATAGATGCCTACTTGGGAACCTATCACGTCAAGATGATCGTTGATGAAGATAAGGAACAGAGTAGGGCCTAGGATAGAGCCTTGGGGAACACCTGCGTTCGTGGGATAAGAGCAGAAGGAGAATGCGTTGAGAACGACCTTCAATGTACGGTTTGACAGGAATGATTGTATTAAGTCAAACAATCGACCTGAAATTCCATAACCCTGAAGCTTGCGAAGAAGGCCGGCATGCCAAACCCTAGCAAACGCTTTGGAGATGTCTAGAGCCAACACAAGCTTCTCAGTTGCAGTTATGGCCGTAAGCACATCATCTGTAGAACGGGAAAAGCGGAAACCATATTTCTTGTCGGAGAGCAGATTATGGATGTAAGGTGGTTAACCACTTCGGCGTTGATTAAAGCTTCAAAGACTTTACCGAAGAGGGGTAGGAGACTGATAGGACGGTAATTACAAGGGTCAGAAGGGTCTCCAGAGTTCTTAAAGACAGGAACAATGGATGAGGACTTCCAACAGTTTGGAAAACAAGATTCATTGAGGTAGTAGTTATATAATTTGGAGAGGACAGGGGCCAGTTCAGATGCACATTTCTCCAGGACAATGACTGGTATTCCATCTCCATAACTAGCCTTGTGAGGGTCTAAATTAGTGATAATGCCCAATACCGATGACGGGGTTACGTGCAACTCGCTCAATAGAGCCTCAGTTCTAAGGGGGAAATCGGGTGTGGGTACACCGGAAGAGTCTAGTGAAGAATTGAATGATAATTTCGGAGCAAAGCATTCAGCCTTATCGACAGACGAGGCC